TCATTTTCTTTGGTTTCTTTTTAGTTCATTTTAACTTTGATTAGGCTACACTGCCACTAATAACTAATAAACCAAAAAAAATCATCTGCAGAATTGTTACAAAAAACATAATTCTCAACTGACAGTGACTACTATTTCCTCCCAAGGTTCTGGCTAAGTTGATACTTTGTTTGTGGCCATTGGAGGCTTATTGATTGTGGGAGATGTTACTACCATAGTTCATTATGTCATGGGCTCTGTTGCCTTCTTTGCTTCATCTCCCCATCCCTATCTTTAAAATATGTTTTCCTCTTTCTGAATTTAACAATGAGGAGGATAACTTTATTCAGCTTTTTTGTGTCCTGCCTTGTCCCTATTTACTTGGTTTGTCTATTGTTGGGACCTTCTGGTACATGATGCTCTTCTCTCTTCCATTCGTCTTTCCCACTCTGGCTCTTTTCTTATCCATGAAGTTTTCAGGGGTATTTCTAACACTGTGACATAAGTCCTACTTGGTTTCTCATCTCTCACAACCTCATGAGTCTATGCCCTTTCCTCAATCCCATGAAACCCCCACTTCTCTCTTTCCCATTTCTCATTCCTCTACTGCTTCGTGCCATCCCTCATCCCACTCGATTGGTGACTCCCTCTTTTTTCTACCCATTCAGCTCTGGCCCTATAGGAGCACATCTATTCATTCAGGTACTTATACACATCTTTTCTCCTCACTTATCATCACTTTCACCTCTTTTATCTTTTACTTTTCGTTGTTTTGATCCTAAGCCTCTTCAGCTTTTTGAGGTTGAGGTATCAGATGTTTCAAACATTAGAGCCATTGAGAGAATTCTTTGCCCTCTCCAGAGTTTTATTCTCATATTTTTTCTTGCCCTCAAAAAAAAAGACAAGATTGTTGGCATCCTGTCATCAATCCTTCCTCTCATAATCACTGTCTTGTGGTCCTTTAAAGATCAAAGTGTCAGATAACTGTATATTCCTATTGCCCTGTCATCTTGTCATTTCTCTCATTTTGTTCACTAGGATCAGGTGTAACAGTTTTGAGCTCTCCCCTTTTTCATTGTTTTGGTTCCTTATGTCTTGAACCAACTCATGAGAGCATTTGCTTGCTACTTCCACAGTCTTGGACTTCATTTCCATTATGATATGGACAACTGGCTTTTCCACGCCTCTTCTTGGGAGGAATTCTTCTTGACCACATTACTTCTCCTCCAAAAGGTGGCTTGTTTTTATTGGCTGGTTAAATTTTCCAAGTCTCTACCTCCAGACCATCCTGTTGTTGCCTTAGGTTTTTTTTTTACCTGGTCGTTGGACCAACGAGTTTCGATTTGTACCATCACGGGCTATTGAATAACTTTGTTGACTACCTTCTACATTTTTTGCTATGAATCTGTCATTTCCTTCCTTGTCCTTTCCACTTTGTTCTGGTCCTTCCTAATTCATTTTCCCCATCATCCAGTGCTTTGCCCAACTGGAACTATAATGTAGTTCTACAGGTTCTTACCCAGGTCCCATTTAATCCTTGATCAGTTGCTCCTTATACCATTTCTGTGCTAAAACCTATTTCCTTCTCTTTATGGTCATCCTAGATCTGATCTTTATGGATGGATACTTCCCTTACTTTGTTTCACAGATTTTCCTGATTTTATTCCTTGACTGCTCATTTCTTCTTAAGCCTTGAGTGGCTTGGTAGGGAGATCATACCTTTTCTTCCATATGTCTTCCATCAATCCTGGCTCTCTATGGTTGTACTAACGCTGATTGCTTTTTAATTTGAGTGGTCAAGTGTTACTTGGCATGGATGGCTCCATTTTGGGGTTCCCACAATAAGTTATTTTTGCCATGGGACTCCTCTCCTCTCAAGGATCTCTTGTCTTCTGTGCTTACTAGATGGATTTGTCAGCTCATCCAAATCATCTATTCCTCCCTGGATAAAGATGGTCATTGGCTATGCTCATAGGTCTAGGTTTCTTCACCCTATTGAAATGGGTCAAAGGTCATGTCAGCATGTTTGTTGACTCACATTAAAAATTTTATTGAATTACTATTTTATGAATGTATGTCAGTAAGTTTGGTATCAAATTGTAGAATATGATTCAAATTTTACTTAATTGCTTAATTTTATAGTAAGTCTTTGAAAAATTCCTGAATATTGATTTTTGTATGTCATGTGGTATGTTGAATGCAGTATTGGTTCAAATTAGATGTTTGTGATGTTCAAATACAAAGTCTATAGTTTATTACGAAATAGGAACTCAAATTATTGATGTTGACAAGCTAGAATCTAAAGTAGGAACCTCCTATCTTTTCTATTTGCTGAGATATCGCTACATATACTGAATCAAACACAGTGGCCCTGCCCATCTCTTTCCATTTTTGGAAACACTGGTGTACACCTGCTTCTATCTATGACGTGTGAATAACAAATTGAAAGCTCAGAATGCCCCCCTAGTGACTTTCTCAGCCAATTTGAAGTATTCAGGTGGCAAATTTGTTCTTTTTATGTTAGAACCCAAGCAGTTAGGTTAGACTTTAGTGGGTTTGAAATTTCATTTTTTTTTTAGACCCAAATACAGCTAAGCTTGATATATTACAGTGAAATTCTATGGTATTGATATATGATTTTTTGGTTATTTTAAAATGTATATATAAAACCTAAAAAAATATTGTTTCACATCCTCCATGTGCAACATTTGATAAGGCTTAGCAACCTACAGCAAGCAGCAAAAGAGTACAAAGTTTGTAACTAGAAGAGATAATTGTTTGCTATACTTCTTTATTTACCGTTCTATGTTTTAAGAAAAATAACTGAAATTTAAGAACTTATTTGTAACAATGTATATACATATATAATGTTTTATAACTGAAATGTGACTGTATTTTACAAAATACTAGTCCACTAAAAACAAAACCATGACAGGTCACTATGTAAGGGCCATTTTTATATTTTGGATACAGTAACATGAGTGCACGTGCACTGCGTCATTGCAACTTCTGTAATGTTAATTAGGCATAGCTGAAAAGTCAATATAATAAATATATAATGTTATGAGATTTGAGGTATTTAGACTAAACATTTGCATTTTTATATTATCATTTGTAGTAATTCTAGAATGAAAAAAGCACAATTTATATTTATTTCATAATTTTTTATGATGGTTATGAGGTCGATCAAATCGACCCAACCTGTACAGAGATACAATAATGAAAATAACAGATAAAATATCAAGTTTTTTTCTAAAAAAGCATTTGATAATTATCTGAAGGTTATAAAGATTTGGCATGTGAAATTTGAAAATGTTCTGATGCATAAAAGCATTTTTAATCTGAAGATCAAAATTACTTTGCATGTTGGATAGTCAACATTTAAAAAGAAAAAAGGAACAATAAAAATATTAATTAAGAAATGTTTAAACTTAATTAAAAAAATATGATATTTTGCATACCAAAGCCTTGTAATGTTTACTAATAATCTGCAAAATTTTGTAAAGATACGCATACATTATCAAAAGTCATGAAGAGGTACCCGACAGGTTCTTATATATTTCAGAAAGAGAATCATGAGTCATGTTGTGATGTGATAAAGTTATGAGAGAATGAGGTCTAAGTACTCTTTTATTCCACTGAAACTTTGTGAAAAGTATATCACGATAAACGTTTAGTTAAAAGATTAAACTTATAAGTCACGTACAGATACTTGTTGTAGCCTTCTCTCTTCAGTAAAACCTTATATAAAGTACAGAAAGTTATCTTCAGCTACCTGTTGTACTACCCTTTATTCAAAAAGCTTTTAAGTAACAAAGTAAGTTAATTGTATTTTCCTTTTTATTTTAGTCTATTGTAACATCATTTAGCAGACAGACATATTATTTACTGTGTGTTTAAGAAGTAGTGTTTAACACTGAAGTTACTTGTACTGATTATCAAGTTTACAGTAGTATATTTCAAATAGATGAAAAGTCTGTAGTTTGAAAAGTTCAATTAACACTGTTCATACACTTACATGAACTTGAGGACTTTATATTGTGACAAGATCGTATAATTTCTTTTTTGCATATTATGCTGCTCTTAAATGAATCTGTAGAATTTAATGGAACTTAGTAACCTGAATAATGGGTCAGTTAAAAAAGTTCACTTTCTTCTATAACTGAAAACCTAAAACATCTGTTGTTTGACTGAGAAGGATAATTGCTATAGTTGAAACATCACTCAATTTGATATGAGGTTTTTTGATACTTTAAAATAATGAATATGGTTAACATTAATGCAATTAAAGAACACAGTATATACTATTCTGTGTAAATGGTTGTGCAAATCTGTTCAGAGTATAAGAATAGAATTTACAATGTTGATTTTTAAAACTCAAGATAGCACTGTCCCTTAAAACTGGGCAAATTTACATGCTGAGGAAACACTGTTAAACACTTCTTATAACCTTCAAGTTGAACACAAAACAAAAGTATGATGTCACAACCTCTAAAAGTACACTTTCAGTGATACATATCGTATGTATAATTAATATAGCAGGGATAAAAAAAATACATAACATAAACTGTTTGAACATCATAACTTTACTTAGGAATGATAAAAACATGAAAATTTATACACATGCTTTTTGTGAACATCCTCACAGCTTGAATTAAAAACTTTGCAAATTTTATGCAATGCTAACAACCTACAGGCAATTAATTTTGATCAATGCCTTTGTTAGTGGTAATTAGACTCATAACAAGACAATTGGTATAGACCTTTGAATATTAAAAAATTCAAGCTATGGAATAGTGTAATATCAACAAGTGTGCTAAATTTCATGTTGATATTGGCTTTAATGGTGAAGTTGTCATGCTAACTTATCACTGGAGTCACCAATTTCTTAGCATGACAACTTCATTATCATGTGCAATGTCTAGATGTATTGAGGTTAATTGTGCATGGATACATGTTGAAAATATTAATATTTTGTAAGATTTAAGATATTTTTTGTAACTGTGTGTTTTGTTTTGCAGATAAGTAAAGAAGCATTTGAAACCCAGTTTGACTGTTAAAAAGAATTCTTTGGAATCACCTGATAAAACTGTTCTCTTTGTATGATTAGTAAACTGTTTATATATATAGAAATAATAATAATAAAAACCTTTCATTACTATATTCAGTAATTTTGTCTTGAAAGAAACTAGCCTTTTTTACATTTTATGGTACTCGTACAAGTTTTTTTTATTAGCTGTATGTAGTAAAACGTTTATTTATTTTATTCACAATGTTTCACCAGGTTTACCTGGCATCATCAGGTGAGATACAAGAACTGAGGCCAACAGAAGTTAATTTAAAAATGAAGGAATCTTGTGAGAAAATCTAACAATACTAATATACAAGCGTGTGATTAAGCAGTTGCAAATTTAAGTAATTCATCATTTAACTGTCAAATTTACATCTGAATCTAAGTATTGAAATTTATTCTATATACAAGCGAGAATGGAACAATTAAAATAGATATAAATGAATACCTTTGTATTTGTTAAGAAAGTTAGGTTTTTTTATTAAGAGGGCTTTGTTTCTTTTATTTTTCATTTGTTAATTTTGTCTTTGCTGCTGGGGATTTTTACCACAGAAGAATCAAAAGAGTGACTGTTCCTAGACATGTTCAAAAGATGTTAAATGTTCACACAACTTATTAGAAAGCTATCTGTTTGTCTTGTTTTTGCAATCTCTAAATTCAGTTGCATACACATTGCCTGAAGTATCATAATTCATATAATTTTGGATAACAACTGACCAAGTTTTTTGTTTTTTCAGGTAAAAATTGTCAAATTTATACTCTGATTGGAAAAATCATTTTGTATGTCAATTTATGACTTATTTTCAAAGGAATCAATTACTTTATGAACGGTAGTGGGAAGGAAATTGTTTTGTACACAAAACTGAAATCTGAGGTTATCATTTTCTTTTTTAAAACAATCTGTGTTGGAACGTATGATTTTATATGTATGAATAGCACCTTTTAATATACTTAGCTTTTGCATTGCCATTAGTTGTGAAGGGAATTCCAAGGAACATAAAGTTCAGTGTGAGTGTTCTTACAAAATATGGAAGTTTGGAAGCAGTCCGTGTTTGTCTTTTCTTAACAAGAATATTTAGAAATGGCAGTTTGTTATTAACTACTTTTTTCCATAGTGAATTTTATATTTAGGTGTATCTGGTTTAGATGAGAGAAAAACCTGTGAATAATGTTAAATTTATCAAAGGCTGAAAAAATGTCACCCTTTATTCTCTTGAAGAAGAATGGTCAATTATTCAAAAGTGCTTGAATCTTGGGTCTTGTTTGAAAACATTACAAAATGTCATCAACATATCAAAACTAAATAATTGGTTTGTAAAGTGAATTTAAGATGGCAATGTCTTGAATTCATATAAATATATTGGATTTCCCATACTTAGACCTTCAGTTTAGATGTAATTCATACCTTTAATTTAGAAAGTAGAAGATTTAGTGGCAAAGAGAAACAATTCTCTTGTGGTGTTGGTGTTTAGGCAAAAATGAGGATTAGAATAATTTTGGTAACATTCCAGGGCAGCATTTATTGCTTCAAGAACAGTGTCTTGAGTGAAAAGATTTTTAGATCATACTAGACCACCTGTGACCCATTGGGTCACCCACTATTCAGAGTTTATGAAGAATTCAAGCTAATTTCAATATTGCATTGAAATGAAGGTTTATTTTGAGGTAATTTAATTAAATATTTCAATCCATTCATGTTATTCATAATTCAAGAAAAGATATTTG